AGAGTGAGCCACAGACGCGGCGGCCACAGTCCGCAGTCCGGCTAAGGTATCCGAACAGATGGATACAAGATGCAGGCCAGAGCTTCAGCTTCAGCTCGGGCATCATCATTATTTGAATACAATTAACACAAAGAGAAAGCAACTACAAGAATGTGTCCGCATCCCAGAGATACACCACATACTGGCATTAATTTTCCCTGTGGTCTGGTCTGGTCTGGCCCAAAACTTTCGGTATTGAAAAGCAGTAAAAAAACACACACACACACACGAGAAGCGGGAGAGATCAGAGCTAGTGGATCGCTCTACTCCAAGTCCACTTCCATGCGGAGATACAGATATACATATATACTTACGGATAGCTATGTATCTCGTATTATGTGTATCTGCAGCTGTAAGTGAGTGTCTGTGTGTATGTCCGTGTCGTATCTACATCTCATAACATTTAATTCATTGTTCACTATTTTTTTATGTACATACTTATTATGTATTCCATTTTGTAGTTTTCGTTTTGTTGCGTTGAGTTTGGCCCCTGTCCGATCTCACGCTGTAAAGTGCTCTCTCGGCCATGGCTCAATGGAAAACAACGCGTATTGGCCAAGTTGTGCGTGGCGCGTTGGTTGTCATTAAATTTGCGTTTATTTCATTGGTTAACTTGTTTCCTTTTTTTTTTCTCCCTCTCTTCTCTATGTTTTCTATTTCTATTTGCGTTTGCAGCTCTCTCTCTCTCTCTCTCTCGCTCTCCCAATGTCTCAGTCTCTCATTCTCGCTCTCGCTCGCACTTTGTGTGTGCGTTTTATTTGTTTCGTTATTTGCCTCTTTTTTTCTGTGTTCGCTTTCAATGTTTTATTCAATGATCGTGTTTACATAGTTAGCCCATCTCTTGCGCCCACGGAACTCCATTTAAATTGTTACGACTATTAAACCTGATACAGATACAGATACAGATACACATGTGGTGGGCAAATCAATTATAGCCACTCGTAGATACAAGTATTCAGGCATTCAACTGCGCCATAGATTTTTGGGATTAAACGTACTAGTGGAGTGTACAGTTATAAGAGAAACTAGCTCTTTGGGAGCAACGAGATTGAGATTTTGAGTGGTGGATATTTGACAGTGACAACTCAATAGAATTGAGACCCATTAATCTAAAGGGGTCTGAGAGTGGATTTATAAAAAAGTTGCCCAATGAAAAGAATATTTATCTTTAAAATTGTCAAAAATATATTAGCTAATTAAACTAATTAAAATCTAACTATTCGGATCATTGAAATTAACCAAATTTATATCTTTTTTTTATCACTTTTCTACTATTTCAGAAATAATATTTAGGTGTATTTTCTCAGCTGCTCGTATCAAATTTTATCTTCCAAAATTTGTATTATTGTATTAAGTTAAGTTAAACACACTTAAAAATTTTGAAAATTTTTATGCAAAAGTTGAAAATCAGGGAGCGGCAGCTGAGAAATTGAAGAGAATTGAAATTGAAGCCAAAACTTAATGCCGCATAAATACTCGTAATTAATGAACATATCTACACAAAGCCAGATATAATTTTTCATAATAACTTTCTATGGATTGTAATGCGGAACTTGCGGAATGGTATAATATCTCTAGGCCAAGGCACACATTTTATACGGCGATTGTTCTGGGACAAAGTGCTCGTTTTGATGCCTTGAAACTTCAATTGTTGGACTACTAAATGGCGAGTTTTTAATCCTAAGAAGTACTTCAATAACCACAAGATCTGCACAGATACATTTATATTTTTGCATTTGCCAGTTCCCATTTAACATCCAACCCGACACACTCCCCAAGCGGTATCGATGGGTTCTTTTTGGATCGATATGTGACCGACCAGCGGGCGACTGTGCTGGACAGGTTAATTATAACATTAACCAACTGACAACTGGTCAATCGCTAATGCCATGGGAGCTGGAAAAGCAATCGAAGTGTCACCCTCCCTCCCTCACACACACAAACACACCCACACACACACGTGAAGCTGCGATGCCGCTGATTTGTGAAGCGGAAGGTGTTTGCTGCCATCCCATCCGCATCCAAATATACTTTTCCCACACTGCCCTGCCCCAGAGAGGTGTTCGTACAGTCCGCTCCACACTGTATAGCTCCCCCGCCTGGTTGTGGCCCTGGTACTCCGTCTCTGGGTCGCGCGCGGTACGGTACTCGTCGTTCGGGGCACAATCAATTCCATATGACATTATTAGATGGTTCGTTCGCTCGTTCGTTGGATGTTGGCTGTTGGCTGTTGCTTTTGGCTTTGCCTTTGCTATTATGTCATAATTTTAGGAAAAAAGTAAAGCGCTCAACCAAAATAAATTAAAAATTGCTTTCATGCTTGAATTGTTCGGGGTTAGGATGGGTAAGGGGAATGGGGAAAGGGGAATCGGGAATGGGAATGTGTGTGTGTGTGGGGTGGGGGGGTACTCACTCACGCTGGCTGCGAATCTTGGCCATGTGAAGCGGACTTCATTACCCGGCATATCCAAATATAAAGCTCGTTGTCGCTTTACCTCGCTGGATGGATCGATCCCTCCCAACACTTTGTATCGTGTATCTCATGGATACACACACACACACACAGACAGCAGGCAGCAGGCTACCCGGCTTCCAAGTGTTTATGGTCGATTGGAAGTTTATAATGGATAAATATGCTGCTGCCTGCTGCTGCTGCCTGCCTGCCCCTCTTGCCACAAAGTTCAAATTCAAATTTAGAACGCGGAATGAATGAAGTGCGCAATATTCAATTAAAGTCATTATTACGAGTACGAGTACGAGTATTAGTAATTTCCCTTCGATGGCAATTGCCATTGATTGTTCGATAGAATCGATTCGAATCGAAGGGGAGATCGCATCGGATCGGATCGGTAGGTAATCCCACATCCCACACACTAATTGATAGTCGAGTGCGAGTGCCAGGGCAGGCAGCTGCTGGCTGCTGGCTGCTCGCTGCATTCGCCCATCCACAGACAGATAGATCTTCGGGACAGACTTCTGGCCACCGGAAAAATTCATCAATTTTCAATTTGTATGTATTAAGGCGTACGTCCCCCATCCACCGCCCACCCCACTACTCCCGCCCTCTCCCAGATCTGTCACGATCTGTCCCTGGTCTAAGCATAATGAGGCATTATGCAAAAAAGTCCCCATGCGAGTGTGTGTGTGCTTTTTTTTCGCTAATGAAGAGGCCACATACGGGACGTCTTTATTAAAAGTAATTAAGTCATTGTAATTGTCGTTTGTCGAATGATCTGAGAGGTGGATGAAGCGCTTGGGGTAGCGCTAGCGTAGGGTGAATGGGGTGGGGAAATTAAGGCCTCAGGTCTGTCGGATTCCAGCAGCACCCATCCATCCATAGCTTAGCCCAAGAACGGCATTATAGGACAGTTCTACATATCCAGTTAGAGAGGATAGCTCTAGGATCTAAGCTGTAATAATTTTCCGCGCAATGGAACTGTTTTTTTGGGCAGAGCTTTGACTGTACAAATGTCACATGAAATAGAACCAACAAAGTATCGACCTCATGCTATGATTTTCCAGTGTATATACAGACATCCCCCAGCTCTGCCCTCCCCCAGCTCTCTCCGTTTGTGGCTCTCTTTGGTCTCCAATGCCCCTTCTCGGCGTCATTGAAGTAAGTAATAATTGTATCTAAATTTGTACGCAGAACATTTGAATCTTAATAAAATTTATAGTTATGACGAAAATATATCTGCCCCGACTGCCGACTGCCGACTGCCGTCTGCTGCTGTCTCGCTCTCCCTCTCTCTCCCTCTCTTGCTTTCTATGTGGCTGGTGGCAGCTTTAAAAGCATTTTTAACCAGAGAAGACCCCAACAGAAATTGAACTCAAGTGCAGACAATTGAAGCTCCTCAGAGTAGAACATTTTTGGACTGCGGGTTTTTGCTTTTTTGGAGGGGCATCCATCCATCCATCCATCCATCCCCTTTGAAGCTACAAAGTGTGTGTGTGTGTGTGTGAGTTGAAATATTTTTGATTTTGATTTCAATTCTCTCTAGTTTTATTTGTATTTTATTTTTTGCACAAGCGGTTATTAACCAATGCAAAAGTCTCCGTAGCCGCTGGTCAGTCGAATTGGTCGAGTACTCGCGCCATTTGGTTAATTGATTTCATCGTATGTCGGTGGGGAGCGGTGAATTCTATACCACGTTTACCCCCTTCCCAGCTATATCTGTGGATAGTCCACCCCACATGAGTTCCAACTGTGGCATCCCTTGCCTTTTACTCTACTCTTGGAGCGGGAACTATGGGCAGCCCGAACTAATTCTAATGCAGAAAATTAAGTTTTTTTTTATGTATAATAAATATTTGTAAATATAATTCTGTACCCAAACCTGAGCAGATTTCTATCGTACTCGCAGCTGCCATAGAAATTATTATATTTTTTTTAAGACTCATTTTATTTCTATGAGATAAGCCAATTCATCATTAATATCAGTGTAAATACACGCTTATTTATGCGATATTTATTCGGTATTCCTTGGGCAAGAGTATCTTTAATTTCGGTTCTCAAATCATGACTCTCTTTCCAGTTCGAATTTATTCTTGATTGTTTCCAACCCAACTGTCGGACGGACACACGCAAATCTGTCTCCAAGTCGGACTGGCACCCATGGACCAGTCACAATTACGCCAAATTAAATGTTATATTGCGTCGCTCTTTGATTCTATTAAGAATGTTAACCGGGCGGGGGGGCATGTGTACCATAGAGCAGGGTTCCCTGAGCATCGAGGGATGCCAACTCGTTCATATTTAACCATATTAAGAAGCATTTCAATTGCGCCGCATTCAATTAGCGAATTGATTTGCCAGTTGAGACGAGGCAGAGCAGCAGCACTATCTCCACTCTGCACTCTGCTGTAGCCCCCATGGAGAGATAGCCTCTTCCTATTTCTATTCGTAAATATCTGCCCTATACGCGTACTTATCCATGGTATATATTTTGAGTGGTACTTACTGCCTGATGATGCTGCTGTTTTTTTGAAGTTTCAGATGTTGCTCGTTTCTGTGTTTAGTTGCTGATTTCTTTTTATTTTATTTGAAGCTGGTTTTTTTGTTGCTGCTCCTGCTGCAGTTTCTTCCTTCTGCTCCAGCTGCAATTTCAATTGATTCTGTTTGTATTTCTGTTGCTTCTTTCCTTCAGCTTCACTCTGTAACAAAAGATATAAGAAAGAAGGAAAAAAAAACACACAGTTGACCATTAGAACAAGTTTTTGTATTGAATTCGTTCGATGAGGCGACCGACCGGGCGATAAAAGTGTCAATTGCAATCAGAATTTATTGCCACCTTGCGATGCGTTGCGATGCGTTGCGTTGCTCAATTCGAAATAGATTCCTGCCATCCCCTTCCCCAGCCATGCAATGCATTAGGATCAAAGTCAATAGGGCTCAACCGAAACCCGTACAACACACCTTCAACCCTGAATCTCTGATACCAAAATTCCCGTTCCCGTTCCCGTACCTGTGCTACCTGTGCGCATGGTCCCTGGTCTAATTGCACCCACTTAGCACTGGGCACAGCATCTACTACTGACCCATGGCCGTGGAACAACAATTGGTGTTGATTTTTGTTTGGTGGTAGGCTGTGGGATTTCCTTTTGATCCCACATATAAATTTTGGTAGATGACAAGGCGGCTTGGCCTTTCTTTATCCCCGAATACCACAACAGATATTAGTGGGGAGAGGGCACAGCCGACCATTCGTAATCAAAATAAAGCAACGACTGGTGATAGATTTAATGGCAATACTAGTAGAATTTTTCTAGTAATTTCGAGATTAAAAAATATTTTTTGTACTGAAATCTATTTTTAAACTTTTCTCTACTTATGCTCCATACCTCTTTCACCTTCTAACCCCCATTACAACCCCCTTCCATAGCTGCAGCGAGTAGAACAATAACCAAACTAATTACTGATACGCGTGGAAATTTTGAGCGAGAAAAAATAAAGGGTTTTCCCCACTCTCTAAGCGCGGACTAAGAAGGTGGGCTGGAAAATTATGCGCTGCAATTTTTATTGCCTCATTGTTTTGGGGCATGTTCGTGGCTCTGCTCTGGGCTCTGGGCTCTGGGTTCTCTGCCTCTGCCTCTGCATTGTTCCAGGGCTCGCGCTCTCTTTGGACATTTTTGGGTTAATGTTAATTACCCGAACTGCTTTCGCAAACCGAAACTGAGGAAAACCCAAAGCAATTAAAATTTTTATGACGCACTGAGTTATTACTTCAAATCCACAAACTTGAGTAATGACCACGCCCCCACCAAGAACGACCTCATCTCTGCCCCCCCACAAAACAGCAAAGGACGTGAGAAATTCTACCAAAAAAAAAAAACACAAAAATTGTTAAAAGAAAAGAAAAAGGAAAATGAACGCCCACGAAACAAGCCAGAATAAAAAGTGAAGCAGAGAAAAAAAAAAAGACGCAGCAAGATTTCAAGACCAAGAACAAGAACAAGCAGAGATATTAAAAAGATTTATTGCTTTATGATTTCCAGAGGGGTCACGACCAGACCGGACTAGAGCAGTGCAACTGTTTCGATTACTACCGTCTGCCGTCCGCCTACCTGGGCGGCAAGAGGTCAAAGGTTGTGCAATACCCATAGCAGGCGTCTCAAATCGAATTGGTTTGCCTTGGTCTGTGGATCGGTGAGCTGGGGATCGCTTGGGATCGCATGGGATCGCTCTTTGCCTTGAACAAATTCAACATTTGACATCAGCTGCACTTTCACTTTTGGGTTAAGTGAAAATGCTGTAATTAAACTCTAACTATCAAAATGCAATAAATTATACAAATATATACGAAACACACACAGAGAGACGCCTCTACGACTTATTCGTCTTGGCATTTCATTCGTTGATAATTTACATAAAACGATTTTCGGCTAGAGCCCAACACTCATTCAATGTTGCAAGTGAAAAGATTTCCGAACTCAGATATGTGAAAGTTTATTAATTAGCCAGCCAAATGCCAGATCTCGGGGCAGACACTCAAACTGAAGTTAATCCGGGACTTAAGCTGGGAATGGAATGGAAGATGTTGCTCCGAGCAAGAGAGTGAGGGAGGTCGGGAGACTCTAGTTAAAGCGGAGATTTATTTTAAGACTGATTTATTTTTAAACAACGTTTGAATTCAATAAAGAGTCGTGCCAGAAAGTTGTTATGGATTGAGGGTTACATTTAAGCGAATGAAGAGAGTGAATTTAATTGATGATCAGAGACTAGATTACACCTGAAAGATCTTGAAGATCTTATTGAAGATCTCTGACTTGAAGCTCGCATTTGAAGATTTTTGGTACATTTTGGAATACTTTTCTTTGATCAGAGACACCCGAAATCTTCGCAGATCCTCCTTCAATTATTCCCCCAAAGTAATGCTCAATCTCCTGCCTTAAATACAGTCTCTCTCCCCAAACTCTGACGTCATTTCATACCCAACCAAAGTGAAGCACCGCTTGTAATTACTTCTGCCACAATACGTGGTATACCGCTCATGGAGTACACCTAACAAGCCACAAAACTGAAGTTGTTTCCTCTGGAGGCGTGCAGAGAGTGAATGTGGCAGAGTGTGGGAGGCGCCAGGACACAAAGGATTGCATGATTAGGACGCATATCAATTACAGCTACAAGACTTTCTACCCCACCACATTCTCTCACCCGCTCTGCCGCTCTCTCTCTCTCTCCCTCTCTCTCTCTCTGTGTGTGTCCCTAAGCCAAATGCGATTAACATAAAAGGTCAGCAGGGGCTACATGGCGGGGAACAAGAAGAACTGCCCAAACAACCGCCCAAAAGTAACTATAGAAAGTGGTTAAAAAACAAAACAACAAAAAATTACTGTAGTAATAGGCGTAATAAGAATAATTGGTGATATGGGGGCGAATGGGGGTCCCTGGTCCTGCTGCTCCTGGTGCGTGTTACAGGGGTCGCCGTACGTATTATCCGTAGTGTAGTTGTTGTTGCTTTGTGGAAAGCGTTGACTTGTGACCATTTCATAAATACCGTTATAAACAAATTACGACAACAACAGCAACAGAAACAACAATGAATGGGATATACAGAATGTATTTTTTATTGCTCACATTTACACATGTTGAAGCAACGCCCAGGCCCATGGAGGACACCCCACCCCCCGAAAAACATGGAAAAGAATTATGAATTTCTAATGAAATTAACCTCCTGCCAGGATCTGGCCTCCAGGCTCGTGGCTCGAGGGTGAGAGTGTTTATTTGCTGACGGGCCCACAACTATCCAATCCCATTCCATGCCAGGGATAGCCCTATCCCTGCCTGACCAGAGGACAGCTGGATACCCGAACTCCTCCCTCTCCGCCTCCGCTGTTGCCAATGACCCCGCCGTTGGCCGCCTTTCTTTCCGTTCGCACATTGTAATTTTCGGTAATAAAAACGTTTTTTTTTTCTACTTCATAATTTTTGTGTGGGCTGGCACTGCATATGAGTGGGGTTGAACGCCACGAAGATAATTGCAGGACCACGGGAATCGTAGAGGTAAGTAGTAGTATTATATACGGCCAGGCAAAAGAGAGCTAGAAAAAATGTTGGAACTGCTGCTAAAAATTAAATAAACTCGCGGTAGATATTGCTAAACTTAAAGTGAGGATTCCCTTCTTTTAGCTTAAATATGAGAAATTGGGGTATTTAATTCTAAACTAAAATATATCAAATTCTGTACTAAGAACTCTCAAACATGCTCGAGACTCAAATGTGTTAAATGTAATTGCTGTACATATGAATATAAAAGGTTCAATATATCCAAACGTTATTTATTTCTGCGCCTCGTGAATCACCTTCAATTCGAAGAAACAGCAAGAAGAGAGGCATCGAGGCGGCATCGAGAGGCCCCGCCAACTGTCCAGTTAAGCTTAAGTGGGTATTAATTTCTCCCCAATGACGCGGCGTCCTTGCCCCCACACCTCAACGGCAAACCAAACTGCCTCAAGGGGGCCCACGCTTACCAAAACCAAGAACAAGCTGCGATTGCATTACCACAACAATTCGAGCCGAGTTGGATGAGGTATGAGGGGCAACCGTAAGCAGTTAGTCACAAATACAATCGCGTAATTAATTAAGCGCGTCAGCTGGACACTGACCGCTGCTCGGAAGGGAGCGCGGGGGCGACCTCAGCCCCAGAAAGGATAAGCACAGTGGAACAAATTGGTAAATGCCTCGATGGTTGTTCCATGGGAGTGGGTAGGGGAAGGGGAAGCCGAATCAACCATGAATCGGATGTGGGCCATTGTTCACTTGCGACTATAAGTAGAAAATACAAGGACAGTGGGATGGATTCAAGTAAATGTGGATAGCAAATTCCATTCCATTCACAATATACAGATATGACCTTACAGAAAGGTGTTCCATGTGCAGAAGTTAGAATTCCATGTACATTTATGACCCACACTGTCCATCCATTAGGGATTGTGGGATTCCATTGATTGCCAACTTTCATTACAGAAACTTGTTGCATAAGCTTTAGCTTTAGCATTGAGTCTGCCTATAGGGCCCATTGTCCGCTTAGGACCCCATGCTGGGCACGGGTGCTTAACCCGCGACACACGCATTGTGCTCTGTGTTCTTGTTGGAACGAATGAGAGTCGTGTAGCGTGAGAGGGGGAGCACAGGAATTGCGGGGTAACCAACAAACACACCTCAAATCGCGTTTTGTCCTTTATCAGGTAATTCACTTTTTAACTTGCTCTTCGCATTTTATTTTGTAATACCACTTGGGGCCTTCATTCCTTCTCTCTCCCACTCTCACTCTTTCTTTCTCCCTTTTTTTTTTTGTAATTGTTTGCCATTAATTACGGTCAAGAAGGAGACGAAGTAGAAGGAGCAGCCGAAGTCGCGCAAATATTTCCGCTTGTACGATACCCAACCCATTCCACCCCCCACCACACTCCCTGTAATCACCGGGCAGTTGTTAATTTTATTTATAAGTCCGAATGACACACCTTCCTGCCAACTCGATTTACGATCTGTGCATTAACGGTTAATGGCAGGCTCTTGTCGTTGTCTCCTTTTCACTTCTCTCGCTGTCTCGCTGTCCCACTGTCTCTGTGTGTGTGTGTGTGTGTGCTCAAGGATAAGTTGGAGTGCTATTGAAACAATTGGCATTTCGCTATTTAATTGCACTCCGAACCGG